TGTAATTCCAATATCTGGGGAATCTCCCACCTTGTGGGGTCCACTTCCCCAAGGTAGAAGGCTGGGACTTGCTTCCCCAGGCCCCCTTGCAGCTTAGGGCCCACAGATGTGACAGAGACTTCCATTTGAAAGAAAGTAATGGGAAAAGCAAGGCATCTCATGGAATAAATTTGGAACAAGGGAAGAGGTATGAGGCCAAGATAGTGCAGTTTTCAGAGAGAATAGGGACAGAAGTTTTGGTGAGTGGCCCCACAGTCTCCAGTGGAGGTTGCATCACTCCTGGTTCTATAGCTTCCAAGCTTGATTCTCTACTTCCAGATTTTGTTAGCTACCCAATATACTTTGAAAAGGATCTTTTTCTATTTAACTATGGTGGATTTTGTTTCAAACATTCAGTGTATATTCTAGGAACTGGCTTTTAACAATGGAAAAATAGGAACACATTCTTGTCCTAATAAAGCTTACACTCTGGTAGGGGAGACAGATGATAAAAATAAATATATGATAATGCTACATGCCATATGATAAGCACTATAAGACCATAAGTATTGTAGAGAAAAATAAAGCAGCTAAGGAGAAAAAGTGCCAGGGTTGGAGTATGGCACATTTAGATAGGGTGGTCAGGAAAGTTCTGACCAAGAATGGCTAAAATTAACTACTCAGGAAATGACAGATGTTGGCGAGGATGTGGAGAAAGGGGAACCCTCTTACACTGTTGGTGGGAATGCAGGCTGGTGCAACCACTCTGGAAAACAGTGTGGAAGCTCCTGAGGACGTTAAAAATAGAGCTACCCTATGACCCAGCAATTGCACTACTAGGTATTTATCCCAAAGATAAAAATGTAGTGATCTGATGGGGCACATGCACCCCAATGTTTATAGCAGCAATATCCACAGTAGCCAAACTATGGAAAGAGACTAGATGTCCATCGAATATAAAGAAGATGTGGTGTATATATATATATACAATGGAATACTACTCAGCCATCAAAAGAAACTGAAATCTTCCCATATGCAACGTGGATGGAACTAGAGATTATGCTAAGCGAAATAAGTCAGCCAGAGAAGGACAATTATCATATGATATGATAATGATCTCACTTTTATATGGAATTTAAGAAACAAAACAGGATCATAGGGGAAGGGAGGGAAAAATAAAACAAGACGAAACCAGAGAGGGAGATAAACCATAAGAGACTCTTAATCATAGGAAAAAAACTGAGGGTTGCTGGAGAGGAGAGGGTGGGGGGATGGGGTAACTGGGTGATGGGTCATTAAGGAGGGCATGTGATGTGATGAGCACTGGGTATTATACAGACTGATAAGTCACTGAACTCTACCTCTGAAAATAATAATACATTATATGTTAATTGAAGTTAAAGTTAACTGAATTTAAATTTTTTTAAAAAAGGGAGGGGGTACCTGGGTGGCTCGGTCGGTTGAGCATCCAACTCTTTAATTTTGGCTTGGGTCATGATCTCGGGGTTGTGCGATCAAGCCCCACACAGGACTCCACACTCAGTGGGGAGTCTGATTCTTCCTCTCCCTCTGCCCCCCAAAATAAGTAATTTTTTAAAAATAATAAAAAAAAAAAGGAAAGTTCTGACCAAGATGACATTTGAATAAAGATCTGAAGGATGTAAAGGAATGAGTTAAATGGTATCTAGGTAAACATTCTAAGTAGAAGGGAAACAAGGAGTACTTGAGTGCGTGAGAAGTGTACTTGGCACATTCAAGGAAGAGCAAGGAAACCAGTGTGGCTGGAACAAGGTGAACAAGGGGAAAAGTAGTAGGTGATGAGGACCAAAAGGTGAGTGATCCAGTAGGTGCTGGTAGGTTACTGCAAGGGCTTTGAGAGTGGAAACACTGAAGGGCTTTGAGCAGAGGAGACATGTATGATTTAAAAGGATCACTGTGATTGCTGCATTGAAAACAGACATAAGGAAAGGGGCTGGGCAAAAGCAGAAGAAAGAGAAAAGTGAAGAACTACTATAACAAACTAGGTGAGAAGTGAAGATGGTTTGGCCCATGGTGGTAATTAAGGCAGGTGAGGAGACATAGGCTGATTCTGGATATATTTTGAAGATATAACTGACACCATTTATTGACAGGTTGGTTTGGGGACATTCTGATAATTTCATGCTTCTGACATACAGGATTAGCATATATGATGTAATGTGTTTTCTAAGAATCAAAAGGCAGAAATATATGTATTCTCAACATTGGTAATATAAACTCTCTTACACTAATAGAGAGCTTTAGCATTAACACTACCTGATACATATATTACCAATCATCCTTACTCTGCTGAAGTCATTTAAAAAATATTTTCAGTGGGGGTACCTGGCTGGCTCAGTCGGTAGAGCATGTGACTCTTGATTTCAGCGTTGTTAAGTTCAAGGCCTGCTTTGGGTGTAGAGATTACTTAAAAATAAGATCTTTAACAAAAAAAAACTTCAGTGTTTATTATGCACAGGACATGGTAATTTGATATCACCAAAAACTTAAATAGCACTAGAGTTCACAAAGCACTTTAACACATTATTAAACTCACAACCACTTAAAGAGAAACAGGTATTACCTGTTTCACAGATATGGAAACTGAGCCTTAGAAACATAAATAACTTGCCTCAGGTCACCTCCTGGCAGAGCCAGCCTTGAACATGGCCACAGATCCTTTACTCACAGATTAAAGTGCTATATCACAGATACACTCTAAAGTGGCATTCTACCATCTCAGGTTTCACTTTTCTTAGTTATAAAATACTTTCTACATATGTATCTTAAACACTAAGCCCATATATTGTGGACAGAATTTTGTTCCCTCCTCACCCCCTAAAAATTCTTATATTGCAGTCCTAACCTACCCAATGTGACTATATTAGAAGATAGGGCTTTTAGGAGGTAATTAAGGTTAAATTATAAGGGCAAGCCTTAAGCCAATAGGAATGGTGGGCTTGTAAGAGACAGAGATCTTTCTCCGCCAGGTATACATATCTGAACATACAGTGAGATGGTAGCTATTTACAAGCCAAGAGAAAAGGCCTCAGAATGAAATCTACCTTGCTAGCACCTTGACCTTGGACTTTCCAGCCTCCAGAACTCTTGAGAAAATAAATTTTGTTGTTTAAGTTACTCAGCCTACGGTATTTTGCTGTGGCAGCCCGAGTAGACTAATACACCATTATTATGGTAGAGAAAGGTGGATTAATCTCTTAACACTTAATGTGGCCAATTTAACATATACACGGAACCCCAAAGAAATATTCAATTCCAACTTCATGTTCAGGCCATGAATAATCCAAACCACACAAAGTCCACAAGCCGGTGGAGATTAGAGTCATCCTTTTATGCTCCATTCAGCTGGCCCCTAAGCACCATTCACAGCCATGGAGTCTTACTCGTAGCCTCTGGGGGAGCAACATGTGCTAAGGCCAAGTTCACCAGAGAATCTCTTACAATCTCCTCCATACCTTCAATACCTGTGTTGTCCAATAAATTAGCCACTAGTTATATGTGGAGAATAAGTATTTGATATATGGCTAGTGTGAATTGACATGTGCTATAAGAATAAAGTATATACCGGATTTCAAAAACTTAATATGAAAAAATATATATAAAATATATTAGTAACTGTTGAATAGTATTTTGGATACAGTGGGTTAAATAAAATATTATAAAAATTAATTTCACATTTCTTTTTACTGTTTTTAATGTGCTCCTAGAGAATTTAAAATTACATATGTGGCTTGCATTTGTGCTTTGCATTGTATTTCTGTTGCTTCTCCATACACACACATACACAGTCTATTAGTCCTTTTGATACACTTACACTTTCCTCAGAATCTCAGCTCCAGCTCTTCTTGGGTCTTCCCTCCAAAGGATGTTGCCTGTCTTTCCTGCTCCAACTAGTTCTACTATTGTTGTGGGCAGATTTCAGAACTTGAATATGCATGAGGCAGAAGGGAGAAGACCTTATGGGAGTCTAAACCCCCCCACCCCTGGATAAAATATTGAATGCAATTAGATCTCTCCTCGTTGCACTGATACTTTTTCTCCTTCACTATTTTAGGTAACATTATTTTTTTTTTTAAAGATTTTATTTATTTATTTGAGAGAGTGAGAGAGAGAGCGCAAGAGGGGGTAGGGTTAGAGGGAGAAGCAGACTCCCCGCCGAGCAGGGAGCCCGATGTGGGACTCGATCCCGGGACTCCGGGATCATGACCTGAGCCGAAGGCAGTCGCTTAACCAACTGAGCCACCCAGGCACCCTAGGTAACATTATTTTTAAAAGACCCTTCTAATAATGCAGCTTTTAGAATACAACATTCCAGGAAATGGAAGGGAGTGGCAGGGAAGATAACTCTATCCTATCATACATACATTAATGATTTTGATCCTATACTACTCCCTATTTTTCAAAAGAGAAAAGCTGTCAAGAGTGATTAAATGCATTACCCAAGGTCACAGATCTGCATGAAGTAGATTTCTACTGAAATTTGAGCTTTAACCAGATTCTGTGCTCTTACCATTATATCACAATATCATGTAATCTCCAAAATTCAAACTTTTGACAATTCAAAATTTTATAGAACTTGGGTTAGGGAGAAAATAAGAGGTGGCCACTGATACAAACTAAACACTACCTGGAAAATAATTAGTTATTTTCTGTTTGGGATATAAATAAGTGGGAAATTATGTTAGCTACTCAAGCAATTCAATAAAGCACTCCACAGAATTGTTCTAAATTACAGATGATGATGATGATGACAGTCAAAATGCTGTACGCCCTTAGATATGAAGCACTGTACTAAACACTCTGTGCTTGAGCTCATTTTATCATCTCACAGTGTATGGGGTCCTAGTAACCCCATTTTATAGGAGAAACTGATCACAGGGCTAAGAATTGACTGAAACCAAGCCTGTCAGATTTCAGACCCTAGAGCTGGGCCATGCTCTACTGCCTTCCAATAATAATGGTTTTATCTCCACTACTTCTAGGTGTCTCACTTGGGATAAAAGAATGAAGTCACTCCCAATTTCTGGCAAATTCCCTAAAGAAGAAAGAATTGTAATTCTGGGCCTCATTCTCTGCATATTACAGATAAATTTAGTTTTGAGCATTTCTTAGACTATTTTTGCATCCTTCTTATGCGCTCATTTGGGATAGTTTAGAAATAGCATGTTTTAGAGAGGACTTTTAATCATTTACTGATTTTGAAGATGTACTTCTGAAGAGAGCTCTCACAATTCCAGAAGCCAATCTGATGTTTGCCAAGTAATAGCATTTTTGCTTTCTGTCCCTTGCATGAACCTTTATATCCCTGGAAATATCCAACTGCCAACATAAGGCTTTGTATTTTAAGGCAGGGGCAGGGAGTCTCTTAACATGTCCAGTTTCTTCTTTGCCCAGAAAGGTGTTGACTTAAAACATGATAACACAAGTTTTAACTAAACACTGACTCATCAAGCAGGATCTTCAAAGAAGTTCTTTAAATTCCAGGAGTCCCGGAATCCCCTAAGGTAAAATGAGAAACATAATATAAAACGTAGCTATTTGTTTGTACAAACCATTACAGTGTACGAATATGTTCACTTCAAACAATCCTCAAAATAACTGTCTATTGGCCACATTCTACAAATGAGGAAACTGAGGCCCAAGGAAACCAAGAGAATGTCTAAAGATTATAACCACCATTTGTGGACTTTCTGACATTACACTTGATTGATGTTACACGTATTTGCAACTCCTTGATCATACTTTAACATACAGCTGGTATGCCAGTTTGAATCCATCAACCAAAAAGAAAACTGAGAGATCCTGAATAAAGAGCTCAGAGAATATGGCAAAACATTTACTTTTCCCATGGAGTCTCTTATCAGACTGTATCAGAGTCTACTTCAGATAGACAGTAGTTCCTTTTCTAAGGCTCCTTGCCTCTCCACCATCACCTTCCCTTCTCCCCAGTCTTTTCCTGCCCCTTGCATCCCATTAGGTTCCCATGTCTATCTTGGACCAGCAATAAAGGATCATTTAAGTTCCACCTATCTTGAAGGGGAGGCTTTGGATCCTTCCGATTCTTCAGAATGAAACCCTACCAAAAGACCTTTCTTTTGTTGGTGCTGACCAGCTCTCAAATCTCAAAACCTAATTTTGGACTGATTTGTTTCTAGTAGTATGGCCAACACCCCAAATAATCTTTCCACTAAAATCAACCTAAAAAATCTGGTCAAATGGTAAAATAAATGCACCCCACCACACACACACCTTAAAAAAAAAACAAACAACACAAGATGATAAAATGTAAAGAATTTTCAGAATAAGTGAATACACAGGTAATCAATCTATCTAGTACCTCTCAAACATGGAGTAAGAGGTGGGAAGCCAGTACCAGACAAGAAGGCAGGGGATAAAGAAGGCCACCCAAGGAGGGGATTCTAACAAGAGATGTCAGCATAACAAAAAATTGCATTTGAAGTTTAAAGAGGCAGCTAGGAAAGTTGCCTTTTTCTACCCTTGGAGCCAGGTGGAGGGAAGAAAACTCTGCATAACCACAAGCCAATATCTGTAACATTTGTGTCTCCAATTTATACTTTCTATATAGGAAAAAAAAAATCTAGAGCTGAGAATTTAAGTGGTCCCAGCTTGGTAGTGCCCCGAAGCCCCTAGCAGAAACATACTAAAATTTTTAACACAAAACTTTAGGTATGGGGGCTCAGTCGTTAAGCTTCTGCCTTC